GTCCTCTTCGTTTAACTTAATAAAAAAGCAGTCATGCAAAGGATAGTGGATCCTCCGAAAACTCTTTAAAGCTTCGAATTGGAGAAGAATGCACTCAAATTGTCATCTGATGTTACTCTAACGCCATTTTACTTGCAATACTTTAGTTGCATTAGAATAAGGGAAGTTGTCTATTGGATAGGCCCCGGTTTCATAGTGCTTTCGAATTCCTTTAAATTTATTCCTCTACAGCAAAGAGAGGCCGTAGTAAAGCGGTAGGTCGTACAGATAATCTCTTAGTGGAAGAGTAGATAATGAACTTGGGAAAGTTGGTAGGTTAAGAGGTAATATTGTGCTACTAAGGTGCATAAACTCTGAAAATTTGCAAAACATGAATGGATGAAAAAAAGATAGTCGGAATGAAAAACAAGGAGAGAGATGAAGAAATGAATCAACGATTGGATGATTAGTCGTCAGAAGAGGTGAACAAATAGGGATAGGAGGGAATAGAAACTTGGATAACCTTGAGGAGGGAGTATTAATTACTTTTTTAACTGGATGGGCTTGAACCTCCATCTCAATCTCACCTTCACAATCTGGAAATCCAGGAATATCATCATATCGCACCATTCGCGGATTTCCGACAAGATCGGCTATACTGCCTAGTCCCGAGCCGCATATTATTCCCACCACCGGTCTGTAGTGCACCTTACTCTTGAGGTAGTCAGTTGCGCACATCGCCTGTTGATATGCCGCCATCTCCTTCGCTCCGTTGTCTCCTCCTCCGTCTGCCAGTCGGTCAAGTCGATCGTGCTGTACGCGCCTCTGCGCGCGCTTTAAAAGGCCCACGAGGAGGGTAAACAAATACCACTTTTTGTGGATTCTAACCTGCGGCGCCTTCTACCTTCAGTCTCTCATGAAGTCACCATCGCCGATTGTTTATGCCTTGTGGAGGCAAAAAAGAGTACGCAAATTTCATGCACAGCTCCTTCTTCCAAGCTGATGATCATCAACATTCATGCGGAGGTGTCGTGATCGGACAGTTGTGTAAGCAAAGCTCCCTTTATTAACCTTGAAAAAGGTCAGGACGACAGATTAATACGTAGTCCGTCTTTCTTACTAATGATTAGGTTACGGAGCCACTCTGACTTGCATCTTCTTCTCTAATGAGCGGTTGGCAACTTATATCCAGTTCAGATTACCACTGAATAAGTTGGGTATTTACTTAATTTTGCTTTTCGTGCAACTAGGAGGTCCACTTTTCAGCCTCCAGTGCTGTATGAAGGAAGGTGACCTTTCGTAGAGGCAATTCTTGACGTTCTTTAGCCGGTATGATGTCCTCTTTGGAATTTTCAGAAATCAAAAGTCGTGAGAGTTGGTGCATTGCAGAACCAAAGGAGAATTCGAACAGATTTTTTTTTCTTGGCTCACCTCAACACCTAAGCCTTCGATGCACCATAAATCAGGTTAGTCTGTTATGTCCGGTGAGCCCTCTGGTATTTGATCAAAAGTGACAGGTAAAGGGGATGGGTGCTGGTGGTGAAAAGGGAATGATTTTAAGGCACTTTTCTTCCTCCCCCTTGCCGACTACTGCTATTTGTGCTAATATTAATGGAATTCTTGCCACCTCAATAGCTAAACACCACCATTTTGTAGTTGGAAGATGGGAGAATGGAGCCTTAAACGAAATTGTGCTTGTAAGCTTCTTTCTCCTGAAGTTCTATCAGTGACTATCAAAATTTGTGGACCACCTGAGCAGAAGAAGCGTGATAACTCCAAATAGACTCCTTTAAAATGGTGGTGATGTTTTGAGGGTCTGACGGTGATTCACACACCAAACAGCATACTTAATCGTGTCTTTACGTGATTTGAGTGCTGCATTTCACGACATGCATTGGTGTGACGCGCTACTTGGTGCTGCGGCTGTGGTCTTTTGCCTGAACTTCGACGCTTGGTCGATTTTTGGTCGGCATTCTCCAGGATACATTGTTTTACCAACTTACACCACCAGGTCGGCGAGGTGATTACGGTTAAGTGTTGCTCTCTCAGCCTTCTGCGACTTCACATTCATCTCGAGAGTCTGTAGCTCCTTTCATATGGCAAAGACCATTAATTTTTGAGTACTCCTTTATGTCTGTGCTCGATTGAGGAGTCAAACTAATCGAATATTGTCCGAGGTGGTGGAAGACTTCGACAGCTGAACAGTTGCACAAACTGTACCGTAAAGTGGCATCAAGCCTTCAAGGTCCAAATGAGTCTCATCCACTCTAGACTCCAATCTCATATGGAAATGACAGACGATGTGCAGTAATGTCAATCCCACGTAAATGGGAAAGCAGATCAGTGAGTGCTGTGGCATCTCAAATGGTCGTTAATTATCATTTTGATAAGCTCCAGCCTCACTTAACCCAAATGGCGGCTTAAGCAATGATCTTCGCCGATCAAACAATGACTGCTCAAAAGTCATGGTAGAAATTCCATTTAGGCTTTGCAGAGAAACAGCGCTCAGGGAGGACCATCATAACTCTAAGCATAGCACGCTTTCGATGATTTGCAGACTTGACTTCCCGAAAGTGGTTCCTCTAGCCGAGGACTTCCACTGGACACTTCTGTCCAAACTGGTAGGTCATAGTAAGACTTCAATAATAATGCGAGTTTCCACCGAGGTTAAAAGCAACCCGCAGAGGTGATGGATCCAATACTAACATGCTTTCCTGCTTCCTTGCGGACAGGACACTCTTCCATGCCCCCTATCGATGCTTAGTAGTGCCAGCTAAGAGGAAAAAGTTGTTCCATTTCAGGGTCCTCCTAGTTGCACGCTTCTGTCCAATGCACAAAATTAATGCCTTGCATTCATTGTTATGCACTCATCTTTGTCAGGAAGCGTTTCTTTATTCCATCCCTTATTTTGTGCTGCAGACGTCTTCGAAGGCCTTGAACACGCCTTAGACAGAACGGGGAAGTGAAGTAAAGCCTCTGTGACCTCACCATCCGCGCTTGTGACTCACCGGTGTGTTATCGGCATGATGAGAGATGAGGCAGAAAGGAAAAGGAGTGAGTCAGTCCGCTTTGCTTCTTCCCCAACGGAGATAGCAAAATCGTCAGTTAAAGGGGATAACTAAGGCCTAGGCGAAATTGCCTCGCATCAGGCCTTCTTTGTGCGTGTAATGAGGGGTACACGTGAAAGAGTTGTGTTGCTAAGACCTTGCGCCTCCTAAAAGGGCTGAAGTAGTTGAACGGTCTGTTGTGGTGAGGCACTTTGGCATTATAAGCGGTCGATTGGACCCATTTTCAGGTATCCTTTTCCTTCTAATCTTCTCAGCGTTGGTGGTGTATGGGAAGTTGTCATTAACAGAATGAGACACCACCCTCCTACACCCCCCTCCATTCCCTGTTGGCGTCTTGAGGTCTTACAGGTGCCCCCTGCGCAAGAACTGACACTTCCTCGGTACGGAGGCTTTTTCGTTCCCCCTTAATTATTTGCTTGAGCTTTTTGGGAGGAGGCAATCCAAATCAAGCATGACCTTTTCTGAAATGAAGTAGCAAACTCTCCCCGCCTTCCATCTCCCCTCAGGGTGGAAGTTTCTTCTGCTGCTGTAGCCAATTGATTATGAAGTCATTATAATTTAAATGGATATTTAAAAAATGGAAGAAGGAAGAACGCAATGAGATAGGTGAGGATAGAACAGCGTACCGATTGTCGGATCCATTCACACAAATGTTTATTAAAAGGCTGTACGATCTCCCTTTGGTTACCCGACTATGAAGGCAAACAAGACTGCATTGAAGTTTACTTTTCCAACCTCCTTTCCCCCTTTCTTTGACCTCGAAGGCGGTTTACAGGGTGTGGTCACCGTTAAAGTGGCCTCACGCATGCAACAAAATCGTCGTTTAAAAGGCGTTCCCCTTCTTCTGGCACGTGACGATGCCTACTCTACCTGGCAGTGGTTGTGGCACCTCCATGGACGACTGGGAGCACAGCACAGGGTCTTTTCTCATCATTATGGCGGAAAACTAGAAAACTAGACTTCAACACCTGAGATCTCGCACTTTTTTGTGGTTAACCCATCGGTAAGTGTGTGTTCTTCATTGTCATTTGACCACCGCCTAGCATTTACTGTGACATTTGACTAGAGTTTCCTCAACACACATGACACTGGGGCACAATTTGCATCCTTTTCGTCTTCTCTTGGGACTTGAGTTGGTGTTGGAGTAACTCTCATCACATCAGTGGAGAACAGCAGTTCACTTATCCCCCAATGTGCTGAAAGACATTGGACTTTTGTGACAAATCAAACTATTACTGCACGGAGGAGTTGGAGGCACTGATCCACCAACAACACAAGTCGAGGACCTGCCTCTTGTATCACCTCTCGATGCACAAATCAACGCTTCATCCTCACTTTCCATCAGAAGTGTGCATGTGTGAAGTCTCCACCACTTGTATTGGCTAATAAAAATCTCTCCTTTCTGGTGGACTGCAAAATAGCGTTGGAGCGAATTTACACGTGAAACATTTTACGAGGCAACGTCGTGTCCGAATGAGGTCACACATGTGGGACACTGAAAATTCTCCCTCCTCTCCTCCCCTCCTCTCCCCTTTCCGTCCCCTTGAGGTGAGGCGAAGCAGGTGGGACTGTCTGACCGAATACGAAGATTTAAGACAGAGAGATAGTGGGAGGAAATGGAGATTTAATTTGGTGTTTTATTTTTCGCTGCATTGGATACCAACTTTTACACTTTACGGCATTGCAGCTCCTTCACTATTATTCCTGTGTCTCTCTACTTGTCTCGCCTTCTTCAAAGTTGACGTGAATTGAGAGGTGGAATGTTGACAGGCCGAAAATTGGTCTCCCCTCAATGGAATGCGACCTCTTGATTTTGGGCCATCAGACAAATGAGCTGTGGTGCTGATGCCTACACCCCGCATTGGCACTGACCTGTAAGCATGTGTCAAGAGGATTATCTAGTTCGATGTCACGGTTGTGGACAAGGAGGCTTCGTAGCCAATGTGTTGCGTTGCATTCGAGGCATTGTATTTGTAGCCTCGCCTTCTGAAACACTGCGGTCTCTTCTGTTGCAGTGGCACACGATAGGACTGTCATAGTTTGTGTCAAGGATGCTGCATCTTTGGAATGTTGGGATAACCACCGATCTCTTTCCACTTTCATTTTCTCTCTCACCTCACAAGCGTGCTAATAGGCAGTCAGAAATCAAGCGGAGGCCAACAGGTGAGTGTTTAAAACCGGTTCCATGTCATTCCTTTGTTTACTCTCTTTCCATTTACACCCTGTCAATTCGACAGAGAGAGCATTGGAAAGGGGTTAGTGTTTACCTTACTTGATTGACATCACAAGTCCTTACGGCATCAGTGCTTCCTCCACTGTGAAAGGGCATTGGACTGAGAGGAAATGTGGAGAGGAGTTTGGGTGCAAACTTTGACACTTTGTCCATCAAAATTGCAATTCGCAAACCCTTTCCATGATTCACATAGGAGAGGTTCATGGAAGTAGTCAACTTTCTCTGGGGCACTTACGAAGTAGAAATGCAAAGCAGAGTTGGAAAACGAATCTTAGGATCGAAGTGAGTACTGAACTAATGGAGTTGCAAATGTACTTCAAGCATTATTTTACATTTCCCACGGCGAGAGAGATTTGGAATCTGTTGGAGGTCAGGATTTTGTATGCTTCACCTCTCCACGTGATAAACTTGCATTTCTCGGAGTGACAGCTAAGGGATTAGCTACGCCACTGACAGACGTGTGATCAGGCTTGATGCCTTCAGCGCATTGACTAGAAGCTCACAGTGTCACCGTCGTTCGTTTCTAATTCCGTTGACTTGCATTGTTGAAACCACCAAACTATCGCATCACATGCTTCCTTACTAAAAGTAAGGGAAATACACCGTTGTTGCCTATTACTACTAAACAGACGACATTCTGTTACAGGAAAACCATTCAGTGATTCCTATAACCAGATTGAACTAAGCAGCAATACATCTCCTTCATACTCCTTTAATAGGTAAACTCAGTTCTGAACATTTCAAAAAGTTCAATCTTCTTTTTATAAAAAGTTTACTGCTTCTTTGCTTAAAATTAAATCACACCATAGTAGAGGCTGGAATGGCCGAGTGGAATTATTCATTTCACTGTTGCTACAACATCTTCTGTGCCCCAGTCTAGCCCAACTAACCGTCCAATCAAATTCATGCAATGGATGGCACCTGCGCACGCGCGTGCACAATCGATTGCGTCCATCGCTTCTAGCCCACTGCCGACCAATGAGAATTAAAAAACGCACTTTTCCCATTTGCTGTATACCCTCACAGAATTCACTATAAAAGCAGCTACCCGTTGGTCACTTCCTTTGAACAAATACGCACCCTGTCAGGGTTGCGTTGTTCCCGTGCTGCTGCTGCTGCTGCTACCGCTGTTGCTGCTTCCACAGTAGCAGAGGCCACGGCAGTAGCACGCACCCACACACAGACCACTAACGCTGCTACCAACGGAAAGTGCTGAGGGGACATCAAAAAATAATAATAATCAGGAAAACTACACGAAAAAGAAGAACTTCGGGCGAAATCTGTGCAATAAAAGTGGGCGCCTCTGGCTCCACCCTGTAAATCAATAATCTTAAACGATCAATCAATCGCAGGCGACCTTATTCTCACTTCTACCTCCATCCGGCGCATATCTGATCCTCACAACCCAAATTGCTAACGTTGTGGTGGCTTGGAATCGAGGTTAATGCTGTATCAGTTCTATAACGCAATCTCAGCTAGTACCGCCAGCAAAGCAGTAACCACGGAGATGGAATGCATGTCATGCTGCTCTGTCAATTTTTCTCTATATGTTCTAGTGCGTAATGTTCCTCCTTTTTTATGACTTCGTGTCTGCATTTGCTATTATGTCATTAAGTACGGAATTTAACTCATTTTCTAATCCCATGGAGTTGCTGTACTGCTCGATTGGAATCAGTGGATGTGCCTCAGCCACGTCGTAATCACCTCAACGGCTTTGAGTTAGTTCCCTCAATCTCTTTGACCTCTCACTTTGGTCAAAGTTCAGGTCTGGTCTGTCTTCCCTAGTGGCATGTGGTCAAAGTGTATTTGAAGTTCGAATTTGTGAACATAATTGTCAAGTATGACAAAATCGGGGTCCGCGACGCCCACCATCGACAAACAGCACTGCGGTCCAACGTCCAGTTGACCATCTCCAGCTATCAGCACTGTTGTCTCACAAATAAGCACACACACATACAAACACACACACACACAACACTTTTAACAACTTCTTCATGTACTGACACACATACAAATACACTTCATAAGATCACGTTGAAACGGGATATTTTGTGACTAATAAATGCTCCGCTTTGCGTACTCTTCACATGGTCCTTCTTCTTCGTCAGTCGGAAGTGATTTTAAAAAATGCTGATAGAAGGGGAGGGAGGAGAGTTGTAATTGGGAGTTAGGAGTCTTATAGAATGCAGAAAGAACTTTGAAGGAAGAACAGGGGCAGAAATCTTGGCCTTAAACCTACCATTTGAGAGGCCTTAGACGGCCTAACTTGGTTGAGAGAAAACTTTTTTGACATCTGATGGTGTCAAGTTGATAGTGAGAAACGATGAGGTAAAGTCTTCCAGTTGGAAGTGTGCCCGCGGCTCTCCTTTACTGGCTGTACATGTACGAATGGTTGAAAGAAAAGTGCATAAAAAAAGGGAATACTGAATGACAAGGGGATGGAGAGATGCAATGAAAGGTGCCAAGAAGATGAATAAATTTGTGTTTTCAAATGATGGAACAGTAAAGACGAGATGTCCTAAGTTGTCATCGCTAGCGCGAAGACTATCACAGCCTAATAGTCTTTTTTTTTGTTTCATTTGAAATCGCTTTTAGACAAGAAAAGCTTGTTGAACTAATTTTTGGAACTGCAGAAGTACGGAGTTGTTGACTGTGGATTGAGCAGTTCCTTGTCTGGTCTACCAGTCCAGCCAGAAGAGGATTTGTCAAAAAAACATCAACTAATGCTAAGGCCATTGAGGGATGCCACATTTGAAGTGGAGATTACCAAGTGGAAAGGCGAATTCCTCTTGATAGTTTGTAACTTCAACACACCTTAAACTGCTTGTTGCAAAATGCCAATCATGTCAAGCTGCGTAAGTCTCGACTCTCCTGTCAAAATGAGAATGCAGACGTAATACGCTAGTCCTCAAAGTCATGACTGATTGGTGGTAGTTAAATGAACCTCAAGCCCTTCCCATTAGCCCCATCCCACGCTCTACCAGAACGGGTTGGAGAGAGAAGAACTAATGAAAGGGATGCAAAGAACATGTATTTAATGGTTACCACATTGAATGGTTATGAAAGTTGACAGTGAAGCAGACATGGAATGGCGAGATAGAGGACGTGCATTCCTGTTCCATCAGACTTGTTGTTTGGTCAGTAAAGATTTTGCTATTGTCAAGGTCCACGAATACTGAGATCGCGATGTAGAGCTGATGCACAAATCGAGGTTCACCTCGACCCACTTGGGAAGACAGTAGACTCAATTGCAAAGAATGGAAAGGATAAAATATTGCTTGATAGTGAGGAAGATCGACAGTGATTGGGTGACTGTTTGATTGTCAGTGATTACCGATTCAGAGAGTAGGGCCGCTTGCACTCACTTTCACTGGACATATTTTGTCCGCTTTCTTGCTTACCAACTTCTTTTTGGCCATCCTGACGGCACATGTCTGCTTCTTCAGCTGCCACCGAAGCAGCAGCTGAGGGACGCCGCAGCCGAAACGTCTGCAGCATAGTCCAAGGCCGTGAAGGAAAGATGCTTGTATTTTATACTGCTTTCTGCCAAGTGGTGGCAGATGGGGTGGTTGCTAAAGCAACAAATGGGAAATCGGGACTGCGCGTTGCCCCATTGGTCAGATGTTGGCCAGGCATAAATAAAAGGGGGCAATCGATTACCCGCCTGTGCGCAATGCTGATTGGTTCGTTGGCTTGGGAATAGAAGGAGCAGTAGCAGAAGCAGAGTGATTCATTTTTTCCACTCTCTTCTTTCAGGCACTTTACTATCTGACTCAGTTGTTAAACAAAGGACGCCTTTAATGGAACAATGAACAGGAAGGAGGGGGAGAGAGGAGGAAGAGGGGAAGCAGCTGTGCCTACAAAATAGTTTCCTTCGTAAATAAATGCCAAAAGGTTGTTAAATATGCCGCATTATGGTTTTGGTGATATCATCGAGTCCTGTAATATTTCGTACATTCTAAGCCACTAAAA